AAAAAAAAAAAAAAAAAAAAAAAAAAAAAAAAAAAAAAAAAAAAAAAAAAAAAAAAAAAAAAAAAAAAGAAGCAAAAACATCAGATGGCTACAAGTGCTAAGAAAAAAAAGTAGGGAAAGAGGAAACAGAAGGTGTTATTTTCCATAGGGTGACTTATGAACATTTTCTATTATGATGACCCTGCAAACAGATACTCAATGCTTAGTTGGCGAGCCACATGGAAATAAGAGAGTACTCTCTAGGCAAAGGGAACAGCAAGTGCCAGGGCCCTAAGCCATGAGCATGGTGGCACATTTGACAAACCATAAGAAAGTCAATATGGCTGGATCGCAGACCAGCAAAAGTTCAGTGACAGGAGATGAGTTCACAGAGGCTGTAGGAGCCAGACCACAGAAGGCTGTGTAGTCTGTGATAAGGACTAAGGATCTTGTTCTTCGTGAGATGGGAAGTCATTCTGAAACAGAAGAATGTGATCTGACTTATATCTTAACAGAGTCAGTCTGGCTGAAAATAGACCTTTAAGAAGTAAAGGGCAGGCCATGCACAGTGGCTCATGCCTGTAATCCCAGCACTTTGGGAGGCCGAGGTGGGTAGATCACCCGAGGTTGGGAGTTTGAGACCAGCCTGACCAACATGGAGAAACCCAGTCTCTACTAAAAATACAAAATTAGCCAGGCATGGTGGTGCATGCCTGTAATCCCAGCTACTTGGGAGGCTGAGGCAGGAGAATCTCTTGAACTTGGAGGCAGAGGTTGTGATGAGCCGGAATCGCACCATTACACTCCAGCCTGGGTAACAAGAGCAAAACTCCATCTCAAAAATAAATAAATAAATACATACATACATACATACACACAAGCAGTGAAGGGCAAAGGCAGAAAGACTTGCCAGAAGGCAAGTGCGCTTGATTGAAGCTCCAGACAGCAGTGGCTTGGGTGAAAGTGATAGTAAGAGAAGTGGTGAGATATATTTAGAAGGTACAGAAAATTGTCCCCATTGGCTTCTTTAACATTAAAAAAAATTAAGATATAATTCAGACATCATAAAATTCACCACTGAAAAAGATATGTAGGCTGGGCATGGTGGCTCACACCTGTAATCCGAGCACTTTGGGAGGCCGAGGCGGGTGGATCATGACGTCAGGAATTTGAGACCAGCCAGGCCAACATGGTGAAACTCAGTCTTTGCTAAAAATACAAAAATTAGCTGGGTGTGGTAGCACATGCCTGTAATCCCAGCTACTTGGGAAGCAGAGGCAGGAGAATTGCTTGAACCCAGGAGATGGAGGCTGCAGTGAGCCACGAAGATCATGCCACTGCACTGCAGCCTGGGCGACAGAGCAAGACTATGTCTCAGGTTGGGGGTCGGGGGAAGGTATGTAATTCAGTGTTTTTAGTAAGAATTCTTAAACTTTATAACTTTAACTTTTTAATATGGCTTCTTAAATTTTTCAAATATTTAAAGAATTAGAATTTTTGTTCAGTGGAAATTATATATTTTAAGGGCTGCAGACATGCTAGTGTCAGCTGGCCCTGAATCCATCTTTCACTTGTTATAATTTTATATAGGCTAAGTATCTTGTACATTGAAAAAATGTTTAGGTTGTATGAAAGGCAAATGACATACTAGATTGAAACATTAATAAAAAATGCAAAAGAAAAAAATTAAAAATGCAAACATTCACCTAAATTCATATACTTTTACTATTATTGTAAAAGGTATCACAAAATGCATTTTGTCTGAGCCTTTTTTCTGATCTGTAAAATAATGAGCTTAGACTGGTTGATATCTAAGGTTTCTTTCAGCCTCCTGATCGTTAGGACTACAGGACTGTGCCACCTCATCTAGCTAACTTTGAAAACATTTTCTTTTCTGAAACAGAATCTCACTCCGTCACCAAGCCAGAGTGCAGTGGCATGGTCTCGGCTCATTGCATCCTCCGCCTCCTGGGTTCAAGTGATCCTCCTGCCTCAGCCTCCTGAGTAACTGGGACTACAGGTGCGCAGCACCATGTCCAGCTAATTTTTTGTATTTGTAGTAGAGACACGATTTCACCATGTTGGACAGGATGGTCTCGATCTCTTGACCTCGTGATTTGCCCACCTTGCCCTCCCAAAGTGCTAGGATTACAGGCATGAGCCGCTGCACCTGGCCTTTAAAACATTTTTTTGTAGACATGAGATCTCACTAGTGTCAAATTCCTGTCCTCAAGCAATCCTCCCACTTTGGCCTCCCAAAGTGCTGGGATTATAGGTGTGAGCCACTGTGCCTGGCCCAGATATGTTTTTAAATTACTTACTGTTTGCAGTGTACACCAAAGTCTTCTATTTTATTAAGTGGGATAGTCTGGTACTCAGAAGGTCCTTCATCAGGAGGTTTGTAGCCCTAAACAAAAATGAAGAAAACAGAAGATTTATGTGTGTGTGTGTGTGTGTGGAGAGAGAGACAGAGAGAGAGAGAGAGAGAGAGAGGGAGAGGGAGAGGAGGGAGGGGAAAAACATCATGTTTTTTTATGCAGCTTTCTAATTATAGGATCAATTTTGGGAGGCAAATATTTAACATAAGCATTCTAATTTAAAAAAAAAAAATACTGTTTCTACTTTTCCCTCCACCCTGTTTGATGGCTGTAGGCTGGATTTGGCTCATAGATTTATTTTTCCTCTCCTCAGGTGATATACTTTTGTTCTAATAACTATTTCAGATTGCAGACTCCTGCCAGGGAATGAAATAGACCTACAGATTTAGTTTGTTTTCTAGTACCTGCCGGATTGCCACAGGAGCACAGGTACTTACTAATAAATAAAGACTGCTTTTCCAGTAAAATTAACAATATAGAACATAAATGTTATTACCCTTTGCTGGGGCAACTTGCAGTAGTTTACTATTTCATAAATATTATTAAATTGTTTTAACAAAAAGAGCTATTTCTAATGTCTTTAACAGTAAGTCAAATATTTGGAATTTAAAAAATATAGGAACTTCCTATAGTCCCAGCTACTTGGGAGGCTGAATTGGAGGGATGGCTTGAGCCTAGAAGATGGAGGCTGTAGGTCACTATGATCGTACCTGTGAATAGCCACTGCACTCCAGCCTAGGCAACAGAGTGAGACTCTATCTCTTAAAAAAAAAAAAAAGTTACCTTTGGGTATGTCCTAAAGGCGCCAAGATTCACTTTCCCTGCAGATATTGTTCTTGTTGGATCAATCTACAAGAAAGATATATTTAATATTTGCTGATATAAAACTGTACGCCTTTTAAACATTATAAACCTATAAATGTATACATACATATAATACTATATACATACACAATAACCAAATAAGAATAAACAAACCAAAGAAACCATAAAAGTTCAGTAAGAGGGTAAATATAAGTGTCTCACAGTTAACTTAGAGATTAGAATTAATTATTAAAACATTTAAGAATGTTATTTGAAGGTTTGCACATCTATTTTTAAAGGTTTTATTTTTTCCTTTTAATAGGTGAATAATTCCTACCTTCTTCATAGAAACCTGGATTGCATTTAAAATGCCCTAGGCATAACAAGAGCTGCTCTAGCAATTCCCAGTTAACTCAGTTCATTCAACACTGATTGAATGCCTATGATGAGCTGGCAGTGAGCCATAGATGCTATGACAACCCATATTTTACAGAGCGGGGGAAGTGAGAAGCACAGTGGTTAAATAACTTGCTCAAAGTCCTAGCTTCTAAGAGATGGAATTCATATTCAAACCTAGGCAGTCTGACACCAGAGCAATTTTTCTTTACCACACTGTTCTTATTTCTCAGTATACTTGCTTCAGCAAATCTTCACAAAGAACATAATTAAACTAGTTTTAAAATGCTTACCACCACTGCTACAAATGGTTCCTGGAACTGCTGATTGAGCATCTGAGTACTAACATCAATCCCAGAAAGCCAGCAGCCATAGCCAGGGTGGCTATGATACCACCCAATTGCATTTTCAAGGCGACCAACCTAACAAAGGGGCAAAAAAGTTTAAGATTACTGTTTAATTAATTTACAAGGTGCTAGTACAATAAGGGTAACCAGTCTCCTTCCCATCTCTTTCTCCTCAACTACTTAGTTTTCTCAGCCCAGATGTGAAATCTATAGGCAATTGCTTCCCCTTACAGAGATATTCTTTGCATACAGAATACATATTGTTTGCACATATAAAGATTGATAAAAACATACACACAATAGCATACCACATAACATAATAGTGTTTTACACTTTGCTTTTTCATTCAATAAACTTGGGAGTTTGCTCCATATAAGTCATCAATATATTTAAGTGTTATTTTTTTTTTTTTTGAGACATAGTCTCACTCTGTTGCCAAGGCTGGAGCACTGTGGTGCAATCTCGGCTCACTGCAACCTCCGCCTCCCAGGTTCAAGTGATTCTCCTGCCTCAGCCTCCTGAGTAGCTGGGATTACAGGTACACATCACCACGCCTGGCTAATTTTTTTGTATTTTTAGTAGAGATGAGGTTTCACCATGTTGGTCAAGCTGGTCTTGAACTCCTGACCTCGTGATCCACCCGCCTTGGCCTCCCAAAGTGCTGGGATTACAGGCATGAGCCACCGTTCCCAGCCTCAGTTACCTTTTCTTTATTTCTTTTAAAGGCTGCCTAGCAGTCCATTGATGGATATACCATAATTTAACCAGTTTTATACTCAGGAACTGAGTTAGGTTGTTTCCATTTTTTTTTTTTTTTTTTTTGAGACAAACTTTTGCTCCTGTTGCCCAGGTTGGAGTGCAATGGCATGATCTCGGTTCACTGCAATCTCCACCTCTTAGGTTCAAGCGATTCTCCTGCCTCAGGCTCCCAAGTAGCTGGGATTATAGGCACCCGCCACCACGTCCAGCTAATTTTTTTGTACTTTTAGTAGAGAGGAGGTTTCAGCATGGCCAGGATGGTCTCCAAATCCTGACCTCGTGATCTGCCCATCTTGCCCTCCCAAAGTGCTGGGATTACAAGTGTGAGGCACCGTGCCCAGCCCAAATTTTTATAATAAGTGTGAGAGTTTATTTGAAAAAAATAAATAAAATCCATGCCACAGACCGGGTGCAGTGGCTCATGCCTGTAATCCCAGCACTTTGGGAGGCTGAGGTGGGTGGATCACTTGATGCTAGGAGTTCAGGACCAGACTGGCCAACACAGAGAAAACCTGTCTCTACTAAAAATACAAAAATTATGGAAGGGGATGCTGCCTCATGCCTGTAATCCCAGCACTTTGGCAGGCCAACGTGGGCAGATCACTTGAGGTCAGGAGTTCAAGACTAGCCTGGCCAACATGGCAAAACCCATCTCTACTAAAAATACAAAAATTATCCAAGTGTGCTGGTGTACACCTATAACCCCAGCTACTCAGGAGGCTGAGGTTGGAAAATTGCTTGATCCCAGGAGGCGGAGGTTGCAGTGAGCTGAGATCATGCCATTGCACTCCAGCCTGGACAACAGAGCAAGTCCCTGTTTCGAAAACAACAACAACAACAACAACAAAAAACCCCACAAAAAACAAACAAAAAACCCCCATGCTATAAATCTTATCAGGCTTTTAATCTCATACATTTTACATAGAAATCATTAAAATTTAAATATAAAATTTAATGTAAAGGGGATAATTTTAAGTCTAAAAAGTCAAAAGTCACCTTGAGACTCTAATTTGCAATTAATAAACTATAAGAAACAACATTTTTACCTGTTTAGCATTTTCTATGTATGCGGCCATGTACTCATATGCAGCAGCCTGTGCATTTACTCGGGTTTCAGTGCCCTCCACAGGCAAAGCAAAACTGTCCATAATGATCATGGTTTCACCATCCACCTTTCCTAGCATCAGGCCCATCACTTCTAAGTTGCCTCCTGATCTGGCATGCATCACCATCTTCAGTAGAGCCAATGCTGAGATTTTGCAGTACTTAAAGTAATGGTGACTGCAAAACAAAATCACGATGTAATTACATTTCTTATATAAAGCACAATTCAGAATAAAGTTTTTCTGAAGATAAAGAGTAAGTATTGAAGGAATTTACAGCAACGGAAGGGGAGTGTAGACTATGGGGAGAAAAAGTTGAAAAGGATAATATCTGCAGGGTGGAAACAACAAGCATGTTATAGCCTTGTAACGTATCATCCTTGGGGGAGGGGAAAAGTCTGAAATAGTTTTTATAAATGTGCTATTCAAATAAGGGAATAATATGACCAGTTCGATTTTTTTCTCCATTAATTTGGAATCACCCAATCTTGGATTCTGACTGGTTGGATAGTTGTGCCTAACTGTTCTCAGGCCTAACCTCTAGGCTAATGGTTAAGAATGTGAGTTCTGACATTCATCTGCCAAGGTTTGAATCTTGACATTGCATTCCCTAGCTGTGGCATTGGGACAACCGTGTAATATCTGTGCCTACGTTTCCTTTTCTGTAAATAGGGATAGTCATAGTAGTTGTTACGATGAAATAAAGTAAACGAAATAATGTATATAAAGTGCTTAGCTTAGTGCTTTACACATACTAGAAACCTAATAAGTGCTAGCTGTCATTAGCATCATTGATTATTAACCTGTCTCTTAACCCTACTCTCAAAGAACAGTGTGTTGAAGGGTGGGATTCTCTGTATGTCAGCCTCAAATTAAAAAGTAGCTCTAAGATCCTAGTTTCCTATGATCACTATTTTAGAATTTGTCATCAATAAATTAAACTCTTGAATAAAAGTACATTTTTGTCTCATTGATGCAGTCCAAGATAGCTAGGATGCATATAATTAGAGCCATAATTAGACAGTGAGGCAGGCTGCTTCCAAATATTTAAGAGTACATCAACCTAAAATGCAGCCTGCTACAGAAAGAAGACAACCAAGCAACTTAACCAGCCATAGAGAGCAGTCAGTCAACGTATCTACAAAGCTTTTTTAGATGTCTGCCCACAGAAAGAATCCAAATTTAATTCCTAAGCTTTGCCAGATTTCAACCAAAAGCTGAAAAATGTGTAGACTTCATGTTGGAAGTCAAGACATGAATCGAAATCTTGGCTTCTCCCTTTACTGGAGAAAAGAAGAAAGACAAATTACTATGCTCCTCTTATATTTTAGAGGACCTTTTTTATACATTATCTCATCTCATCTTTAAGACAACACCAATAGGTAGGTCTTATTTACATATTACGATAATTGAAGATGGATAAGTAAATTTCCTAAGGTCAATTAATTAGTGATAGCTGTGAGATTTGATCTTAGGTCTGACTATTGCTCAGTTAGGAGTTCACTTATCTCAGTGTGATCATAAGTTACATAATGCATTTGCTTGTTTTTTTAATTTGTAAAAAAAGGATGGATATACTGTACTGGGTTGTCATGAAGATTAAATGAGGTGGAAATATCTAGCTAGGTGCCTCCGCAATTCACCACTGTGGAATCTGAATACTGAGAGGCGTCTAGGGCCATACCACCCTGAACGCGCCGGATCTCGTCTGAATACTGAGAGACAAGGCTAGCCCTGTAAAAAAACTGAAGCAGTAGAAGTATGTCCTCTTGTTGACCACAGCTCTCCTTTCTATCTATCCATTAGCTTTTGTGCTCTTTTTACTTTCTCCCAAACACTGCTCTCAGGAAAAGAAAAATATTATGGGTAAAGATCCCTTGACCTGTCACCACTCCCAGGGAAAAATGGACACTGCTAAAGGGCAAAGAGCCTTAAGCTCTAGTTTTATAATATCTGGTTTATGGGAACTGGTGGAGTAACATTTTAGAGACCAGGTAGAGCCTCCGTGTGTCTCCGTAATAATTACCAGCAATCAAAAAACTATTATAGGCCCAGGCCTGACGCCTGTAATCCCACCACTTTGGAAGGCCAAGGCGAAAGGATCACTTGAAGCCAGGAGCTAGAGACCAGCCTGAGCAATACAGCGAGGACCCATCTCTATTTAAAAAAAAGAAAGTAAAATAGCTCATAGCTATTTTTGAGACCTTGGGCTGCTGACTCGATTTCTGCAAACAGCTGTAGTCTCCAGTTTGGGGTCGAAGACCCAAACAAGGTGCATGCCGACACTGGGTTCAAGGCAGAGTGTGTGGCATATATGAGTATACAGATGTTCAGAGGTAACAATTTAAATCACCGCTTGTTGTTCTCCCCTTACATCATCCGGGGCAAATGGGTTAAAGGGACAAAAAGGGGAGTCAAAGCCCCAGCGGAGGGCTTAGGCTCTACTTGCAGATCCAAGGCGCATATTCTGTCCCCCTCCCTGTCGGTGAAAGCTCTTCAGAACCCCTTCAACTCCCATTCTCTCAGGGTCTCTTAAACTCCCGCCACCCCTACCCTCCCCTGCGTCTCGCCAGGGACCTCCTCACTCCTTAGTCCAGGGCTTCGCCGCCAGGATTTCTTGCTGCTGTTTCTTGTCGTATTTGTAGATTTCATCGATACTCTGAGCTTCCTGCATGTTGTTGGCCAATTCCCAGGTTTTCTGGGCCATACCGCTCCCGGACGCCGCCATCGCCGAGGAAGCGGAGAAGCTGTCGTATCCACAACCAAGGGGCAACTTTACCTCGCTAGATCTCCAGGTGTGGGCCTTGGACCCTCCGCACCACGGGAGCAAACTCTTAACTAGACTCTTGGGGCAGCCATGACACCTAGAACCGGAGGTGAAGTTGGTACAGACCATTCAGAGAAGACAGGGGTCTTTCGGGGACGTGACGATATAAACAGTATTTACAGTAATAGGGAGACACGAATCTTCTTGTGGTTTAAGTGAGAACATCTTGACTCGGGAAATTGTATGTGTGAAATGAACAAACAAAATTATAGGCTATGGTAATGGTATAGTCTTCCGCACCGGAAGACGGGCATGTAACGTTATGCCAGAAACTGGGATTTACCTTCTCTGTTTGTACTGCGCAGACTCGGCCTCCGCCATATTAAAGGTAGGTGGAGCCTGGGATGTGGGGGGCGGAAAGTGTTTTTGTGTGCGTATAGGTACCTTAAACGAGATAAGTTTGTTGAAAGACTAAAAGGTAAGGCTGTCTGTTGTAAAACTGAGCTATACGTCGTTATGGAAGCTTGTTGAGAGGAAGATAAACATGGCATTCCAGTTGACTTCAAGGTGATTCATTGCATATGCGTAAAAGCTAACTGGCTTGTGGTGGCTTGGCACTTCGCATGCAGATGGGCTTTTTCTAGAGATGCGAGAATGCGGTGGGTACTCCTTGATTGATATTACCATGCTTTTTTGCGCGTTGGTAAAAGTTAACATCTACATAGGAATTATGTGCCATTACTGATCTGAAAATGCCCAGTACTCAGTTCTTTTAACAGGTTACAGTTAAATCTTTGGCGCTGCTGTGAACCTCATTTGTCCCCAAGGCGTAATTAATCTCAGCAACTGGTTAGTTTTCTTCCTACACTTAATACTATGTTTAATTATTTTATTTATTAGTTTACGTGTTTTAGATTTTCTTTTTTCTCCATCTTATTCCTCCATCCGCGCAAAATTTTAAGTTTCAAGACACAGGGAGCAAGTCTGCTTTCCTTGTTTTATCCCCTAGCACCTAGCATAGGTGTTCAATATATTTTTTTTTCTGAAAAGATAGCATCACAGGGTAGGCGCGGTGGCTCACACCTGAAATCCCAGCACTTTGGGAGGCCGAGGTGCGCGGATCACTTGAGGTCAGGAGTAAGACCAGCCTGGCCAACATGGTGAAACTCCCTCTCTGCTAAAAAAAAAAAAAAAAAAAAAAAATTAGCCAGGCGTGCTGGTGCGTACCTGTAGTCCCAGCTACTAGGAGGCTGAAGCAGGAGAATCGCTTGAACCCGGGAGGCGGAGGAGGTTGCAGTGAGCCGAGCCTTTTTTTTTTTTTTTTGAGATAGAGTCAGACCCTGTCCTCCCAGAAAAGAAATAATAAAAGAAAACAGAAAAGATAGCATTACAGCTATTAACAACCTGGTCCCTATGTATCTCTTCCAGCTTCATCTCTCTTTAGTCTCCACTGAAACTTTTCATTCTAGCAATGCAAATATCTTTACTTTGGCTTTGCATATGTGGTCAGCATTATTTGAAATGCTCCTTTCTAACTTTTTTGCTTGGGAACTCATATTAATCTTTAAATATACAGCCCAGTGATACTGAACACGAACTCCTTGACACTCCAGTGACCATTCCTTCCATGATGTCTCTAAGTCTCCGTAGGTGCTTCTATGACTGTTACAATGCGTTGAAACAATCAGTTAGAACAGAAACATTGGAATTATCGAATCCACACCACAGCTTGCGGTTTTGGCACTGACTTTCAGTTGAAGAAAATTTGCTTTAAAACCATCTCTTACAAAGAAATTTAGAGTAAAATAGTACATTAATATCTACCCTTAGTTCCACTTTCCTGGGAAACTAGACGTCACTTTTCTAGTGGTAGCATATGGCCATATGCTATTGGGGTGAACTGAATAACATGTTGAAAATGGTAATGAAAGCCTAGGACCCAACGTTGACCACACTCCTGGGCTAGGAGTAATGATATGCTAACACTTTTCCTCTCACTACCACCCGTCCCCATTTTTCTTTTCAGGCTCTGACAGTGTTCCCAAGTTGTGTGGTGCCTAGGAGGTTGGAGAGGCTGAAATAGATTTAGCCTGAGAAGTGGCTCCCACGGCTTAACAGCCCCTGGGCTCAGCAGGAGAACGAGTTTTCCAAGTCCCCTGCCAAGGTGCGGGCGAACCCAGAGAGCGGCGGGCAGCTATGCAGCCTCCGGGACAGCAGGGGGAGCTGTCTGCCGCGCGGCCGCCTGCAGTGGGGGCGAGGCCGCACCCGGCGGTTGGCGAAGGGCGGGCGAAGGGCTCGGCCTGAGAGGCGGGGCAACGGCCCGGAGTCTCTCACACTGTTTCGGCGCCGAGCGGTCGTTGCTATCTGTTCGGTCCGCGACTATCCTGAGTACTGTGCGTGTCCCCGGTCGTGAGCCCGCTCTCCTGAGTAAGAGTCTGCCAGCCGCGGATGGGGAGCGTGAGCGGCGGGGTATGCCGCGGAGTGGTGTGGAGGGAGGAAGGGGGCCCGGGGCTGCATTCGGCAGAGCGGGGGCAGGCGCTCTCTCGGGGCGTAGGTCTCGAGTTCTGGAGTCTGCGGGTGGGAGGGGGTTTCTTGTCCACCAGGGGGTCTCGTGGCTGCCGGACGCGATGAGGTAGATTCCCGAGTTGCGGGTGTGGAGAGGTGGGGTCCCGCGGCTGTGAGGCCGGCAGCGGTGACTGAGTTATGAGGGTTGGAGACGGGAGTTCCCTGTGGGCTGGGGTCTCTCAGCTGCCGAGCTAGGGAGGTGCCCTAGTTACGCTGTCCGGATTCCTGGGCCACCGCGGTCGCCGCCGCCCGCTGTGTTGTTGAGAGCTGGTTGCCTGACAACGCACTAACGCTTCCTGGCCAGCCACCTCCGGCGCCCGGGGACGAACGGTGCCTTCGTTCCCTTGCGCCATCTCGCCGACAGCTGTGCCTCAGCTGCTCGGTCAAGCCTCCTCGAGCGCGTTTCTTGCTCTTCGGTGCTTGTTATTGTTTACGTGGGAGCACTAGTGCTCACTGCTTTGCTAGTAAAACTTACTTAATCTTCACCATATCTCGGTACTATTGTTATCCTATTTTCCCCTGTGATTGCCCGGCTGCTTGAGCTTGAATCTCTTGTTTCTAACTGCCTTGATTTTAGGAATCTTATATGGGACTCGAATCCAGTTGTCAGTATATGTTATTAACGGGACTATCTTTTGAGAGCGCCTAGCTCTCAAGATTGTAGGATTAAGACGCTTAACTAGGATTTCCGGGAAGGCTAAATTCTGAAGTAAACCACCACCTAATGCTCAAACACCTTGGTTCCCTTGGAAAATGCAGGGGCCTAAAAACAGCCAATAGGAATTTGTAAAAACCTGCTTTTCCTTAGGCTCTATTCTGTGTGAAAGAATGACTTGTCATGTTGACGAGCAACATAGAAACTATAGAGGTACTTTCTTTTCTTTGTATCATTCTCCCTAGGAGGTCATTGGCTTTCTGATGATTAAATGTCTGCTGAAATGCCCTACAAGGATCAAGCTTTGGGTCTCTCTCTCTCTCTCTTTTTTTTAAAGACAGTTTCGCTCTGTTGCCCAGGCTGGAGTGCAGTAGCGCCATCTCGGTTTTTTGCAACCTCCGTCTTCCGGGTTCAAGCAGTTCTCCTGCCTCAGCCTCCTGAGAAGCTGGGACTACCGGTACACACCACCACTTCCAGCTAATTTTTGTATTTTTAGAAGAGATGAGATTTCACTCTATTGGCCAGGCTGGACTTGAGCTCCTGACTTCAAGTGATCCGCTTGCCTCGGCTTCTTAAAGTGGTGGGATTACGGCCCTGAGCTACTGTGCCTGGCCAAGGTTGGGTCTTCAGCCAGACGACCTTCTGGGAGGGAGGGAATGAGTTTAGACAGTAAATTGAAACAGGATACTTTCAGTAGTTTTTCTGAAATGAAGCTTTCAGACAAATACGATTTAACTTACACATTTGAGCAGATTTCAGATTATCCTTTTAACATCATTCTGACTTAGATTCTGATGTGCTTTCCTGAGTGGCAGGCAAGGGTGTTTGAGCAAGTGTTTCAGCAATTTTGCACAACCCAGAGGCTAATTTATGCTGCTGCCCTTAATCACCATTAAGGGTGTATTATTAACAGCTGCTGAAAGGTTTCAACATGTATATATTTATTCACTCTCTCTTTGTATTCTGTCTCCCAGCTTCTCTCTGTTTCCCTCAGCAACAGTATTTATGTCTTAGCAGTATTTAGGGAAATGTGTCAAAATTTGGGTGTACCCATGGGAGGAGGTTGCTAATGTGGATGCCATCTGCTAGGAGAAAAAAGAAGAACCTTGCATTCGGCAGATGGGTCTCTGGATGGACAAGAAGTGAGAAATATTGTCCTGGTCACTTTGTCCCTCCCTCTCTTCTAAGGCTCTTTCACTGGCCCCTCCCCCCAACCCCCATGTTATCACACTTTGATATCTGTTCTAGGTCCTGTTGCTCTACTCTAGGGTCCATTTTTCCAGACAAAACTTCTCCCACAGCCTTAATGATTATTTTAAACACTGCTAGATCTTAATTTCCAGCCTGGGTTCTTTTCTGAGTTCTGTTTTTCAGATTGTTTTCTTTATATCTCCAGTACATCCATTACAGGTATCACACATTTAGCCCCTAAACCCCTGTCCGCCACTGTGGCAGGGGGAGTTATCTTGTCCAAATTCGAGGACAAGAATCGTGTGTGTAAATATATATATGCACATGCACATATATTTATTGTTGTTGTTGTTTTTGTTTTTTTGAGACAATCTTACTCTGTCACCCATGCTGAAGTGCAGTGGTGCCACCTTGGCTTACTGCAACCTCTGCTTTCCCGGTTTAAGCAATGGTTCAGCCTCCTGCCATGCCCAGCTAATTTTTGTAGTTTTAGTACAGGCAGGATTTTGTCATGTTGGCCAGCCTGGTCTCAAACTCCTGACCTGAAGTGATCTGCACATCTTGGCCTCCTAAAGTGCTGGGATTACAGGCGTGAGCCACCGTGCCCAGCCACATGTTATATTTTTGATCTCCCCAGCCTCTAGCACAATATCCTGCTATAGGAGGGGAGTCCTTTTCTGTTTCTCATGCTCCCATAGTGGGGAGGAAATTTGTATTACACTCCTTGAGGGGTAAAGGATAGGAGCAACATTTTCCCATCTTTTTGTAACTGATGAATTTGTGAGAAAGAATTGCGGAAACTCATTTCTTACTGGGTTCTGTCTGTTTATTGGATTTGATTAGACTTAGCAGAATGGGTATGTTCTGGTCTGCTTATATCT